ACACATAAATAGATCTTGATAAGGTTACATAATTATTCAGTACCTCATGTGTAAAGGTAAAAATTAACTCTTTCATTTCTTCTCTATCCCTACTGCTGCTGTCACCAGTTTCTCTTTCTATGATGGGGCCTCATGGATATATCTCCGCATCAGATTGGCCTTTAATGATTGTAAGTCTCCTCTCCTCTCTCCCCTCCCCTCCCTTTTCTCTCTCTCTCTTTCTTTCTTGGTGATGCTGGGGATGTAATGCAGGGCTTCACCCATGGTAAGCAAGCATTCTAGCATTGAACTATGCCCCCAAACCATTTTTCCTTTTTTAAAATTAATTTTATATTCTAATTGATAAACTTCAAATTTTAATAACTTGGTGGTAACAATATCTTCATAGCTAATAATATATTTGGCTCCAGAGTGACCAGAAAATAGAGGACTGATTCTTAAATTTCAAAGTGTCCACTTTCAAATGATCAAAAAGTTTGACTAATATTGCTTCTTTTCCTACAGTTCTACATGGTGATGTGTATTGTTTATATATTGTATGGTGTGCTCTGGCTGATGTGGTCTGCCTGTTACTGGAAAGATATATTAAGAATACAATTCTGGATTGCAGCTGTTATTTTTCTAGGAATGCTTGAAAAAGCAGTGTTTTATTCTGAATACCAAAACATCAACAACACTGGACTGTCAAGTAAGTTTTGACTGTCTCTTATTATGTAGGAGTTACTTAGTATCAGTGAGCAGAGCTGTGGGAGGTCCTCTTTTGTATGGTGGATTGGAAAGTATCTATATTATACTGATAGTTAAAGAGGAGTGAAGCCAGGAAGAGTATCAGAATGCAATTCTGATCTGGGCAAGTATGTATATTCTTTTTATTTTCTATTTTTCTTCTTGCCAACTTCCCCATTGCTTTTCCTCCTGAGAAAGAATTCTTATTCCCTAGGGCTTAGCTGTGATTAACACAAGGTTCTAGACAGAGGCACTTCAGGTATGGCCATTCCTTTTACTATTTCTCCTTTTTTCCCTCCCATCTTCTTTTCTGTTCTTTAAAAGTGAAAAGGAAAACCTGGGCACAGACCTAAAATCAGTGGCACCACATGGATGTTCCCATGTGCTTGCATGCTGTCTCCCTTCACTCTTGCAAGAGCTTCACGTGACCAGGTGTGGCGCCCTCACAATCACACAGTGAAATGTGTGATGTGAGGGCATCTACAGATATGTGCCCCTGACTTCCCCAAGCTAGATTTCAAAAAGGCCAGAGAAATAGAGGTTCTGTTCTACCACTAAAACTTTGGTAAGGGAGATGGCTCAAAAGTGCCCATAGTGCTCTAAAATTGTACTTCTGAGTGACCACTTACAAAGGCACTCGGTACAGAATTTCAGTAGATTTTGTTCTTAAATACCCCAGAAAAAAAAATGAGTTGAAATATAGACAAAAATAAATTTGTGATAATGATAATCCTCGGAGCTAAGTGATGGGTTCATGGGAATTCATTATACTGATTTCTCCCACTTGGAGAATATTTGAAAATTACCCAAATAGAAAGGCTAAAAAGGCATGTATGGAATTATAAAGGAAGGGCAGACATCCTGGGGTGCAGAGTGGAGGTGTTACTACTCTTAAGTTTTATGCATGTGTGTGCACATGCTCTAAATCATATAATGAAGAAAAGTGGGTCTGCTACTTTGGGTTGAACCATCCTTGGATGTCAGAGAAGATATTCGCCGCCTCTGCTGTTCTACTGATCTGTTTCGTTTTTTTGTTTGTTTGTTTTTTAGTACTGGGAAATCAGCCTAGGGGTATTCTACTGCTGAGCTTAGTTCAACTCCAGCTCTTTTTATTTTTTATTTTGAGACAGGGTCTTGTTAAGCTGCCCAGGCTATCCTCGAACTTATAATCCTCCTGCCTTAGCCTTCCCAGTAGCTGGGACTTCTGGCATGTACCATCTGGCTCTCAAGTCCTGATTTACATTTCACTTTTTGTTAGCTTTTTTTTCAGACCTGCTTGCACCTTCCCAGAATGTAGATTAGGATGACTTTCCTCTTAGTCTGGGTCACTGTGTTACATCTAGTGCCTAGCACATTAGTTCTATTTACAGACCTAACCAGACTCCAAGCTTCAGTAGACAGAGATCAAGGTGTCAATTACTTTTATAACCACACAGTAGGAGCATGATTAACACTTTTGTTTGCTTCGTTTTTTTTGCTGTGTAGGGATTGAATCTAGGGCTTGGCATATGCCAAGCAAGTAATCTCTCACTAGCGAATCCGTTTTACATCCTAACGAATAAGACATCCTGGAGAAGGGAGAACTCAGTGGATATTATGGCTTTCAAATATTTATAGGACAAGAAGAAGGGTACGGTCCTATGTAGCTTCAGGGGGAGCAGGGGAGCTCGGGAAGGGTTTTGGGTTGATGTGAGAAAGCTGTGTCCAGTGGAACTGGTTGGATTTGCAGTGAAATGTACAGGAGGTAGTGAATTTACTTTCCTTGAAGTTTCCAAACATCTTCTGAATATGGCTAATTGGTCTGAGGTCAGAATGCAGTGGTACTTAGTACCTGATTAGAATCTTGGTTGGTAGTAAATTATTTTTTTCTCATACTCAGCCCAAGGTCTGTTGATATTTGCGGAGTTGATATCTGCAATAAAGAGGACATTGGCCCGCCTGCTTGTGATCATTGTGAGCCTGGGCTATGGCATTGTGAAGTAAGTGTTGGTGTATGGTAAAGATAACAAGTCTCTATTCTAGTGATTCAGCCCATCTGCATTATGACCTTGGTGGAACTTGGCTTCAAAAGACAAATCCTAAGGGAAAAAAAATCTCTCTTTTTTTTTTTGTACCGGATATCGAACGCAGGGCGTCATTCTTGACAGGCAGGTACTGTACCACTGAGCTACATCCTCAGCCTGAGAAAAATGTTTAAAAACGTATTTTTAAAATATACCTATGTACTAACTATATTAACTCCAAATAAAGATCCTGAATTTGACGTCCAATAACTTTTATAAATAGGTGAAAAGTCAAAATCTAAAATGACTCTACGTTCAAACAGGTTTATTTTCAGTTTTGTGGATAGTACATTAAGCTTTTGTAGATGCATTTGAGTGTTGTAGGGAGACTGAATTAAACACCAAGTCAGCAGGGTTTCTGACTGGAACTGGCTGTCCCCAGAGGCCCCACTTTCTGGACCCTTCCAGACAGATCTCTCACACACCTGTGACTCACTGGATGTGAATATGAGGGATCTTGTCCTCTATCTTCATTGCTCTTTTCACTCCGTTGTTCTTCCTTCTTCCCTAAAACCTGCTGATTCTCACATGCTCCAGCCTGCCGACAGATTGCTTGCTGCGTCCTTTTACTCTGTCATCTGAGGGCTTCCAGCCTCCCTCAGTCCTTCTTCCTGCACACTTATGTCATTGTTTTCTCCCTGGCACTTCTGTGTGCAAGCGGGCATCCTGACCTTATCTGCTCTCTCATGTCTCCTGCCTCACCTCTCACCCTTCACCTCCTTTCAGTTCCTGATTCCTGTGGTCTTTTTCTAGACTGCCCTCATTTCATAATCTCAATCTTGAGCAATACCTTTTTCAAGTGTCCCCTCCTTTGTTTCCTTTTAACTTTTTCCTCAGATCAACTTTGGTCATTTCTGGCCTAGCACCTTCTGCTGTCCCTTTCCATGTCATGTCTTCACCTTCTTCCTTTAGCTTCATTTCCTTATTCCAGCAGGATACTGACACCCAATGCCTTGCCTTTTCCTTAGTCACCTTCTTGACACAGTCCCAGCCTTGATAAATCCAGCTTTCCATGTGCCTTGCCCTCAGACCCCACAGGGCTCTGAGATGAGCCCAGGACCACACTGCCCAGGGCTATGTTCAGTTCATGACACTGAACTTCAAGTGCACCCATGGTACTGTGGAAGTTTTATAAGATTTCCTTGCCAGACTTTCCTTCTCCCTCTCTGCAGAAGATGATTTTACCCTTTCTCAAACTGCCCAGCCCCTGCTCCCATCCTTCCCCAATGATCTTAGTTCCTTTTTCTCTGAGGAGGGAGAAGCCATCAGCAGTGAGTTCCCCTGCAGTGCTGTCCTCAGATTCTGTCCGTGTCCTGTGTCTGAGCCGTACACAGTGCTTTCCTCCTCTCACTAGGCATAGGCCATCCCTGCCCTTGTGCCTTGTCACGTCAGTGAATGAAACAGCCCCAGAGGTCAGTTTGGTTTTCTGTCGGTTTGTAAGTTTTCCTCTGGTGAGTTGCTTTCAGTTTGCTGTTAGGTCTACCATCTTTCAAAGCAGTGCTCTTTCTGAGCCCCACCCTCTCCTTTGCTTCTTTTTTGCTTCCTTTGCTGTGTGCAGCTTACCTTTCCAAATGAGCCCTCTGTGCTTGTCACCTCACCTCCCTCTTTCTCTTTTGCACCCTGAAGAGGTTTTGCCCCGTAGCTCCATTGAGGCTGCCCTGGTTGTTTGTTGTGACCTCCTTGGCCCTGCCCAGCCTTGGCCCTGGTGCTTTCCCAGCAGCTTCAGTCATGGAGCCTAGTTTTGCTTGGGTGCTAGGAGTTCATCTCCTATTTCTGTCTTATGTCCTTGGGTGATCCTTCCCAGTCTTCTCTGCTGGACTTTCTGAAACCCAGCCTTGGAGTGGCCCACTCTCAGGCCTTGGACCCTGCCCTGTGAATAATACTCCTGGGGCCCTCTCAGTCAGTTCCATGGCCCTAACTTCAGAACACATCCAGAAGGAGCTGTCTCATCCTGTCCACAGGTGCCACCCTGGCCAAACCACCATCTTCTCCCTTCAGTGTCAGGAGCCGTTCTACATAATTTTGGGGAAAAAAAAATCATTTCACAATTAAATTATGATTAGGGCTGTCTGAGGGTTAGTCTTCTTGCCTGCAAGCTGTGGCATGTGGAAACATAACTCCGTTTTGCCTCTGTTCATAGCGAGGCCCCAAGAGTCCTGTGATTCTGTGTCTCAAGGGCAAGATTATATCAGCTGAAGTCATTATGGTTCTTTGACAGCCAAGTAATAATACAAAAAGAGAAAGGTTTCACCTGGGGAGGGACACATTCTTTATCAGTTTAACTCATCTCACCTAAAGTAAGAATGTTTTTGCTCATCTTATCATCCTAATCAACATAAGCTTCCATCAGCATAAGATCCTCATAGAATTATGGACACCCTCTGAGACATCTGGTACTTCCTCCATTTATAAGATCTTGTCAATTTGGGATATACCACTCTGAATCATCTGATACTCCCTATGAACCCAATAAATTGTGCTAATCTTGGAGTGTCTTTGTATTTGCCCTCTGACCTCCTATCTCCCATACTTTGTAATTATGCAAGTCTGTTGTCTTTTTTTTTTTTTTTTTTTTTTTCC